CAACAACAACAACAACAACAACAACAACAACAATAATAATATCATCCCAGTTCCATGAAACTATACATATCTTCTTTGTGGACAAGATAAATTGCAGCTGGGGGTGCGGAGGATGGACATTAACATTAATATGCAAATATATTTTCAGTGATGGAACAGATAAAATTATATTTGTACAGATCAAATGTATTTGAATGCATATGTGATTCACTAGTCATTTATTCCACATTTCTAAAATATTGGACACAAATTGATGCTTCTAATTTACAATTTCATATAGTACAGGAAAACGTTTAGTGAAGTTCACATCCATTCATCTTCCTTGGTATTACCAAAACCATAAAGTGTAGCTACTGTATTAGAAATTGTTGTTATGGAGATATATTTCCACTATAATATTTCAAATACCCTCTTCTTTCTCTTCTGAATGGATAGAAAACCTGTATCTCTCCATACTTTTTGGAGTATTACTCACACTATCCATGACCACTGGTTCTGCTCTCTGGAGCTGGTGCGTTCTGGGGGATTCCTGAATAGTCAGGTTTCATGTATTGCCTAAAGTTTTACTGTTGAAATAGTTACTAAAAGGTTCATGTATTCCCTTTTTATCTATTAGAATTGAAGCTACTTTCTATAATACAAATTCTAAAAAGTTTATATTGTGAAGCACTGTAGTAGCTAAATCTCTGTTATTTTAGAAATATTTACATTCTATTCTATATCAAAACGTTTTGCCCAAAACACATATTTACAAGTGGTTTGGGCTCTGTAAAAAGCTCCAAGACAAGGAATACCGATCTCCCAAAATGTTGAGTTTCATTAAATATCGAAAGACTTTGTTTTTCTTAAAAGTAAGATGGATCTGATAATGATAGAAAAGAAGGTAGTTTCCTCTGAGTTTGAAGGCAGAATGGCAGGATTTACCATATCAGAACTTTCTGTTGCCTTTAAACAATATGCATTTCAATTCCCCAGCCTTTTTTAAAGAAATAACTTAGAATTATTATTAAGTTAAACAACTAGTTTGATAGTAAAGATAATAAATATGTGTCTTTCTAGGATACCAGCATAAACAATATTGATATAAAGAACCAGACTGCTATAATGGAGTTTATCCTGACTGGGCTATCTACAATCACTGGAATACAGACACTTCTTTTCTGGGTATTCATGATCATCTACACCACGGCGCTATGTGCCAACATCCTTCTCATCCTTACCATATGCACTTTCAGGAAACTCCACTCTCCCATGTACTTCTTCACTGTCAATTTGTCCTTAGTGAATGTATTCTCTATTTCAGTTACCACACCTAAATTGCTTCAGAGTCTTTGGACTGGAAGAAAGACAATCTCATTTTATGGTTGCATTGCACAACTCTATCTGTTTATATGGGCTTTGGGCACAGAACTTCTGCTTCTTTCCTTTATGGCTTTTGATCGCTATGCTGCTATCTGTCACCCTTTGCAGTACACCATGATCATGAGGAAGGAAGTCTGTTTTGGCATAGCAAGTATTGTATGGATTGCTGGAATGATGAATTCTGCAGTTCATGCTTGTCTTATGTTGAAACTCTCCTTTTGTAACTCCAATGTTATCAATCACTTCTTCTGTGATGCACCTCCATTAATGCACCTCTCATGCTCAGATACAAGTCTAAATGAGTCTATGGCATTTGTCTCAGATGTGACATTTGGGATTGTTTGTTGTGGGTTGACTCTAACATCATATTTTTTAATCATAAGAGCTATCTGCAGAATCCGTTCCACTGAAGGGAAGAAGAAAGCATTCTCCACCTGTTCCTCACATTTTATTGTGGTCAGTATTTTCTACTCCTCAGTCATCTACACTTATATCAGACCCACTTCAGTCTACTCTCCAGACCAAGATAAGAAAATTGCTCTCCTTTATTCAGTGGTAACTCCTGTTCTTAATCCAGTGATATATTCATTGAGAAACAAAGATTTTATAGATGGAATGAGCGCACTCATAGGGAGAGTCAGGCTGTTCTGTAGACTTCAGAACAGAGCTTTCTTCTAAAGCATCAGTCTGGAAAAAAGAAAGAAGAGAACAAAAAACCCTGTACAATTTGTACTTTCACTATAAAGCATCAGTCTGGAAAAAAGAAAGAAGAGAACAAAAAACCCTGTACAATTTGTACTTTCACTATAAAGCATCAGTCTGGAAAAAAGAAAGAAGAGAACAAAAAACCCTGTACAATTTGTACTTTCACTATACAAAATAATACGATTCCTATACTGTGCAGGTATTTTTTTTTCATTGTCTGTATGTGAATTTAAGGTATCTGCCAGAACACATGATGTATGGGGAAAAAAATGGATGCTTAACATTTTGCTTTGTATTACATTTAAATGTACAGAAGTCTGTGAGCACATGAGCAGATAAAAAATCCATACACACACACACACACCTACTGTATCTGTGTTTCTGTGTGTGTGTATGTATGTGTATGTATATGAATGTTTGTATATCTATATCTATATCTATATCTATATCTATATCTATATCTATATCTATATCTATAT